AATAATAATATAGTGTATAATATACATATAGCAATGTTACTATTTTAAGAAGCAGCATGAATTATTTTTCCCTGAAGTCTCAGATTCTGTTAAACCCTGCCCTCACTTAACATGTATGGCAGAAGCACTTAATTTAATTGACTGATTGATATTGCAGTTCGAAGATATATGGGGATGGAAATGCTGTTCCAAGGATTTTGAAGTTTCTCAAATCAATTGATCTTCAAGAGCCACTGCAAAAGAAATTCTGCTTTCCTCCTGTGAAGGAGAATATCTCTCAAGATATTGACCATATTCTTGAAACTCTAAGTGCTTTGGCTGTTGATCTCGGTGGGACAAACCTCCGAGTTGCAATTGTCAGCATGAAGGTAAAATAAATAACTCCTAAGCTCTTAACTTTATATCCCATCTGAATAATTAATTTTTTTAAAAGTGTAGTTGGAAGATAGGATTGAAAACAGGAGCCTGGAATCATTTGCCCAGAGTATTGACTTTTGGATCCATTACAATGTTTATCTCACTATGTTATTAATCATTTACCTTTCAAAGAAGTAAATTCTCAGAGAACCTAAGGAGTTGACACTGGGGAGACCCCTTAAGGCACCAGAGTTGGGTTTTTGCCACACAGGATATCTGAAAGTCTATCCTTGGTGACAGTGTGGAGTGTGGAGTATGCTGGTTATTATCACTACCAGATGAGGGTATTGGCCAGTGGGGAGGGGAGTTGCCTCTTCTCCTCAGAACATGATTGGCTGTGTGGGTTCTCCATTTTGTATTTTTACAGTTCTGTTCTTAACTGAGTACCTTCAATCTGTTAATCACACTGTCAGCACAATGTGCCAGGTTGAGAGAACCTTCATAAAAATAACAAACTGTCCATGGTAAAATGATCTCTAGTGGCTTAATGAGGAAGAATAAACCGACTAGAAAAATCGTTGAAGTATTGTAGATGTATAATGTTGTCGAAGTCCACGAGAAATAGCAAAGATTTTAAACACACAGTTGTAATAAATATGTTAATATCATCAGGTCAAATACGCAAAAGCAAAACATAATTTTCTTAAGAAAAGCTAAAAGGCTTCCCATAATAAATACTTCTTTTTTTTTTTTT